GTTGCCCGGACGGCGGACGTACTCGTCCTTGGGGAGGTCAGGGTCGAGGGCCAGGCGGGCAGCCACCTCGTCCACACCTGCAATGCAACCGTCGGACAGGGCATCATCTTGCAAAACCAATCCACGATATGGCCGCTTACAAGAGCACGGGGTCCCGGCTTGAATAAGGAACACGTACGCTTCAAAAGGGGGTTCGTTTCTTATTACCTGGAATCGGGGGGTTTCGTTCCCTTTTCATCTTCCCCTTGGTCGGGCCCAATGCTGTACTGGTCGAGGCGGAAGCAGGCAGATGTTGAGACAGCATTCGCGCAGATCCGCCCTCAGCCTGCGGCCGGGAGGCGAGAAGGGCAGCCGAGGAAGCCAGGCGACGCGAGCTCGGCAGCCTGGCTGGACTGAGGATCAGAAGAAGAGAGCGGCCCACAGATCGGGGGCGGCAAAGAGGGGGGTGATGACTAGGGGGGGGGATTTCATGGCGGGGACCATGATATGTCCCAGATTTCATGGCGCCTCTTCTTGTTTCATTACGTCCCTGGCCCCCCGCTGGGCCGCGCACATGCCGCCGGTCATGATTTGCACCCCCCCCCTTGGACACCCCCCTATTGGCCGCTCCCGAACATAGCAGGGCCAGCAAATCGCCACCGGCCGAAAGCATGACCGCTCCGAAACCAGCGGCATAATTCGTTGATGGGTGATTTCGTGGGCGAGCCATCTTTAAATTCAGCTCCCTTCCCCTTGAGGCTGAGTGGCCGTCGGCACAGCAGAACTACTGGAGGCGCTAGGCAAATTACGAAAAACTTCATTCTCGCGCGCGGCGTCCTGCCCTAGGGCGGTGGGCCACCAGTCGCCTGGATGTGGGAAGAGACCTCTCTCCAAGAGCAACATATCTTCATCTGAGAGGTCTTCATTTCGAGCCAGCGCCAGCACCTCAGGGTCGATCAACTCGGTGCGGTCGAGCTCGCACTCCTGGCACTTCCACAACCTGTGGTAGACCGTATCGCCTAGTTGGCCACAAAGCGGGCAGATGTCAGGGACCTGGTAACTGGCAGCCACGACACGCGAGAGGGGCCAGAGGCCACGGCGCGACACCGTACGGATGCAACCCTTGTCTAAGGGCGAAATGTTACGAGAGGCGAGCCCTTCGAAAAGACTGGCGAAACACGACCCGGATCCGGAGGCGTGCTTGTCTCCCGTGTCCTGTTCCAGAAGCCGGTCCAAAATCGGCCTGTAGGGGGACATGCCCGACCTAAGGGTAGCGGCGGTGTCAATCAACCAGACTTCACGTGCGCAGCTCACACTCGGCGCAGCCGTGCCAAGCCAGATGAGGTCGCCCTCCAGGCGCAACAGGGAGCACAGAGACCGTTCGCCCGAGATTGGTTTTGGAGTGGTGCCCGCAGGCCTTCGAACCTTGGCGAGCTCCCCGTCAGACATCTCGTGGACTTCACAGCCGTACTGGAGTTAAGTCGGGCGTGTCCCCCTACGGGGAGTTTCGACGAAAAAAATACCCTGAAAATAATCAACAAATAATCCAAACATAGTCTGGGAATTACTTTTTTAATATTTGTTTACCTTTTGGGGGTATGTTTGGGGGGTATTTTCTATTTTTCGTCGAAAATACCCCTGTAGGGGGACACGCCCGACATAATACTGGAGGGCTGGGAGGGCTCCGGCGCAGAAAAATAGCCTCGTATGATGGGTCCCTCGCCCGATAGGGCCCCCCGCTGCAGGAACCAGACGCCGGGTGCGGCGGAACGCCTCAGTGGTCCGGGCTTTGGCCCTGGCCTTCCTGCCCCGGACCCGGCGGGCACGGCCTCTCGTCGGCGCCACCCCGCACATTTCTACTACACTAGGGGAGCAACAAGTGACATAAACATATGAACTCGGAGGTCCGCGCGGATTTCTCGGATCGGCGCTGGGGGCCCCTCCCTGGCGCGCGGAGCGCGCCTGGGGCGGCGCCGGAGGCGCCGCCTGGGGGGCCCAGCGCCTCCGAGTTTTTACGTTTATGTCACTTTTTGTTCCCCTATACATGTGCGTCGCCCCCCCCCGGGGGCGACGCGCGCACCGAGACATTTTATAGTATGCGTGTCGCGGCGGGCGCTTTCCAGGCTGGAAATTCCAGCCACACCGCTCGGGAAAGGATGTACTACAAGATGGGTATACTGTATGTCCGGGTCGGACGCCCGCCTCCAAGGAGAACATATAATTCTAGTATGTCTCTGTGCGTCCCATCTCGTGTCGACCACACCCAGGTTCACCACGCTATCTTTGATCCTTCGGAGCCGAGTGGAGCTGATCGCCAGAAGAGAGAAGGCCAGACACAACATCATCTTCCGATCCGATGGCCTGCAGGCCAGCGTCGTCAATGCGTGTCGAAAGCGTCTAAACCAAACCTGCGGACAAAGGTAGTGGCGAAGCCGCATCCGGCCACGATGCCAAACCTCGCGAAAAGCGGCGGATCGACCGAGCGGGCCAGAGCGATAGGCAGCTAAGCAGACGGCAGTGACTGTAGGGTTGAAGCCGTGCATGCCGCAGCGGAGCTTTAGCAGCCTAAGGGTGATCTGCTCGTAATACTTGAGCGTGTCCCAGAGGAAAGTGGCGGCCACGTCCCCCCCCTGCCGACGCCCGCCTCCGAGCGGAGGCATTGCCGCCACACCACGTCCTGAGCCCCATGATGCTTCCCGGCGGCCCAGTATGGCCGAACATGGCGAGCTTCCCACTCGAGTGCGATGGATGGGTCGTCTGGCCCGGGCCCACAAACGATACGGGCTGCCAAACACTCCAATTGGCCAGAAGCCCGACGAGGGTTAGGCCAACAAGGCCACTAAGGAAAGCACGCAGCTGCCGAGGCAACATCCCACAGTGCTCAGTGACCTCACACAGCCTGACCGGACAATGGAGGGAGGGGTCGCACTTAACGCAACGCAATGGTGTCTCATGTGTGGAACCCGTCCAGGCCCACCGCCGTGATGCGGGAGAAGCGCCGAGACAGAGAGCGTAGCTCACTAGGCTCAAAGGCGGGGAGGGGGGTGCCCAAAGTACCCCTCGGGGTTGGGGCAAACCAGGCGATCGCAAAGATGGATTAAGGGGGCGATTAGCGACGGGTCGTTTCCATGGGAAATCGCGGATTTCAGATGCCGAACGAGGCGGCACCGTCCGCATTTTGGGGAGGGCACCTCCCCCGATCCATGGATTTGACGACCGCGCGCTTAATCCATGGATCGCTAATCCATGTTTGCGCGCCCCCGAGTAAAAAGTCAGACGCCTTCCAAAGCCTTTGAAAACGAACACGCTCGGCACACGAGAGCCCCCCAGGGCCTGAAACCGCCACCCCGACGAGCGAACGCGCAGGAGTAGGTCGGCAGGCCTGGGGATCTACGCTGACCTGATGCACGCGGCGGGCCTCCTGAATGATGCCATCCAAGTCTAGCAGTGGCGGAGCGTCCCGGCGTACCTATAGGCCTACGAAACAATGTTCTAAGAACCTTTCGTGGTTTCCACGAAATGTTCTTAGAACATTTCTGGCTGGGACCGTCTTGTTTTAACGCACTTGGGTGGATGTTCTAAGAACATTGTTTTTGTTATTAGAACATTTTTGGGTTCTAAGAACATTTCGTGGTAGGACTATAGGAATGCCGAGACGGTCGGTCCCTGCTCAAACAAGAGCCAAGCGCTCCAATCTTTGCTCGACTGGGTGCGGAACGAGGCACTCGCAGCGCCCAGGTGCTGGCAGGCAGACGGGCGCAAGTCGAGACAGTCCCGCCTGCCAGCTTCCGGAGGGGCATGCCGCCACGCCCGAGTGGCGCATTGCACGTCGGTAAAAATTTGATGATCGACTCCCCCTTCGGGGGTGGATTGACCTCCTACCCTGACACGTCGATTAGGGCATTGGCCGTTTTCGGTTCGCGAGAGGGCGTCGCGGCCGTCATTTCTGCGGTTCGAGGTCCGTCGGTTTCGGTCCCAGGCTGTTTTCCCTAGAGTGAGGTTAACGAAAGGGAGGTTTGTCCACCGCCGAGTAAAAAATTGATGATCGACTCCCCCTGGTGTTCCGAAACGAAGGGGGCGAGCTCACAAAGCAGGCAGGCATGGCAAGACGGTGGCCCTGGATCAAGCCCCTTGGCCTCCGCCCCAACTTGGAGGAAGGCGTGAAAGGTGGTGTGAGGCCACCACACGGAACGCAGGATGGGGTATCTAGGAGCCACCCGGTCATGCCCCAAAATAGGCCTCCACCAAGTCTGAACCTCCTTTCCCCTGGCCGTCACATACGGAAGAACGACCCCCATGGTACGACCGACAGCTCCTTTTCGCACGTGCTGGCCCAAGATTTGTGGGCCTTGGTGAGAAGAGAACCCACCCTTCCACCATGTCCCACTGCTGCGCCTGGGCCCGGGCGACGCGCAAATCGAGCGAGGCCATCGCTTGATCGTAATCGAGCGGGCAGGGCGCAGGATCGATTGGGGCATCCACGGGGAGCGGAGGCGGCTTCCGAAAAGACAGCGATCGCAAAGCAGCCAGGAAACGCAAGTCCACAGGCCGATGAAGGTAAACACACATCAAACAGATCGACGGCAATTGAGCTTACGGCCTCTCGAGGCAAGAAGAGATCACGAAGAAATCGATCTTCTGCGGGCTGCCGTGCGGGAAGCAGGTGGGCTCGTCGGAGACGACAACCTGCGCCTCGAGGTTCTGGGGGAACTCAGCCTCGTACAACTGCCTGGGCTCCTATTTGAAGTCGCACCCGAGAAAGTATGGCAATCCACAGACTGACAGACTCGCACCCAAGTTTCCCAGCAGGTCCAAGTTACCCTCAGACAGCCCCTCGCAATCGTGAAGATGAAGAGGAATAGGAAGGGAAAGAGGATCTGGAAGAGGAGGAGGAGGAGGAAGACGACGGCGATGAGTAGTAGCACGAGCAGGAGGATCAAGGCGGAGAGGTTGGAAGAGGCGCAGAACACGAGCGGTCCATGGATGGTGAGCTGGTTGCGTTCACAGACTTGGGATGGGAGATCCTCAGCCTGTGGGTCGTCAGCGCCCAGGCTTCTGCGACGCTGCAGCTCTTCCTCCTGCTGTCTCCGCGCGCGCGCCGTCTGTGCCGTCCTGGGCTCGAACCACACAGTGTTTGGGCGATTTCGTAGACCGTGTTCGTTTTGATTGCGTTTCGCAGCAGAGGCGGGACGAAGACCGAACGAGGAAAACCGAAAACATAACCAGCACCAAACACACTGGTCAGCTCGAGCCCCGGTGTCGTCCCCGCCGCCATCCGCGCCAGCGCCCTCTGCCTCCTCGCTCCGCCAGCTCGGCTCCGTGCCTCCTCGGAGAGACTCACTACTCTTCCGCAACCCGTCTGTGCTCGCCTGCAGCTTGCGACAGTGACCCATCGGAGGGTGTGTTTCGTCGCCACCGCTTGGCGCGTGTCGAGCTGCCCGCCTACTACGGTCGGAGCGAGGTACAAGAGCGAGGTCGGTTCGAGGAGGGTACCCTAGTGGTCTTCGTGCCTGTTGGAAGTTCTCGTGCATCTTGGGGAGGGTACCCTTGGGTGTTCTGCGTGTTTTGGCCGGTGAAGGGTCTCGTGTTCTTGAGGGATGTGTTCGTTGGCCTAGGTCCGATTGTAGAAGAGACACAGCAACCCTAGCAGACATCACTTGGCGTACTACCACGCCTCGGAGCGGCAGGTGGTACGGTGGTGGATTCATGAAAGGACGGCGTCAGCGAACGATCAGGCGAATGCGGGCAGAAAAGACACTGTTGGTAGTCGTATTGTCCACGACCACGAGCGCCCCTCCCCAGCTTGAATGTACATGGGGTGGTGCTAAGGGCACCTGGAGGTTTCCAGCGATCCTGGCGGCGTCCACTTGCAACAACCTTGGAGATTGCCCCTCTCTCAGTGCTCCTCGTGCCAGTCAGCGCCGCCCCCTGTCCCCTCCTCTGCGTCCCGTCCTCCGCTTGCTTCGCCCCTCCTTTCCATGGTTGATCTGGCCAATCCGAGTGTTTTTCCATGTTTTCATTGCCCATATGATTCTCCCCCCATTCTTGTTCCAGCTCATTCGATCTGTCCTTATCCATGACAAGCTTCCTTTCCCGAGCTGGTCTCTGCGCGGGATTCGAGCGTGTCTACGGATAGTTGGGCGCCCCGGAGGCGCTGTGCTTGCAGTTCGCAGTGCTTTACGGAATGTGGATGTGCCTTGGGAAGGGTTGCATTCGATTCGGTTGTTTGTTGTCTTTCTGTGTCCGCGTGCTTGTTTTGGCCCAAGCCTTCCGTGTCTGTGCACTCGGGCCTACGGGATACGGCAGGCTTTGGTCCCATCCCCCGCATCACGCTTCCTCCATTCCTCTCTCCCCTCCTGCCTCCTACGTCTCCTTCTCCTGCCCCTTGCCCCCGTACCTCCTGCATCCTACCCGTAGCCCACCTCGCCTCTTGTGCGCCTCGCAGCTGCTGCCCACGTCGCCGGCGTCGGCACCTCTGCGGGCACACGGGCAGGCCAGCCCATCACTTCATGATCTCAAGAGGAAAAAAAACACACACAGACACAATGAATCCTCGATTTCCCAGAAAATACACAAAAATATGGGAAGTGGGGGGGAAGACAAAAACCAAACAAATATAGGAAAATATGGGGAATCTTTTTATTAGTGTGTATTTGTTTGTGTGTCCGAGGGCCCCTTCAATGATCACCCGACACCCCCACGATCAAATTATCCGAAATCATTTTGGTGTCTGCGCTCTCCTTGGGCTGCGTGGGCGCGTTGGCGCGCTCGGCGTCGACGCCCACGCGCGCGAGTGTCGAGCTCGTTTGACTTGCATGTCGGTGCGCTGTCACGGGCACGACGGGGTAGCGCATTTCCCTCGCTCCAGGTTGATCGCGGAGGGAAATCATAACACATTTCGGTTTGGGGCGGCGCTCCCCACATCTGAAATTCAGATTGGCCCTGTCTGAAATTCAGATTGCCCTTGTCCGCAATTGAGATTGCCCCCCCTGGGGACTCGGGAGAGGCGTTCAGCATGAGACTTCTGCACAAAAGTGTTTCTGATTGGCCTGGTCTGAAATTCAGTGTGACCGGGTCTGAAATTCAGATTGGCCCAGTCTGAATTTCAGATTGTTTTGGTCTGAATTTCAGATGTGGTGGCTCCGCGTAGCAGAATTCTTCGGTTTGATGCCGTTGCCCATGGGGCGAACTTGGTCGACGGTTGTTGTCTTGCGTGGTTGCGACATGTGACATGAGATGCTCTTGCCATTCTGTTAGGGTAGCTGGCACTCGAAGCCCCGATGTTCCCTTGGACGTGGCGCGCCTTGCGGTTGCGGAAAACATAGAAAGTCGATGTATCATGGTTGGGAGTGTCTGGTGATGACCACGCAGTCACCAGCGAGGCGCCGTCTGATTCGGACCATAATCATTAATCATTATCCCCCTTTCGGCGGCGATCCTCGGGGGAAGTGAGACGGGGCCCGCCTTGAAAGGAACAACACATCGTTGAATCATAAATTATCTTGACCCCTTCCCTCTCCCAAGGATGGCGTTGGCACCTGCTTTGGCTTGACAGGCGTTGTGGTGGCTGGCAGGCGGCCTCTGTGGGCGCAATGGGCGTGGCGAGGCTGCATGTCAAAAACAGTCTGGATGACGTGGTGGTAAGCGGCGAGCGAGGGGGGTGGAGTGAGAAGGGGCGGGCCTTCTCAGAAGGCTCGGGAGCCCCCCTGGCCTCCTGGGAAGTTGTCGAAGACTTCCGCGAAGACGCAAACAACCTTTTAAGAAGGCCCGCGGCCGTGGAGAAGCCCCGCCGCCTGCTTCTCACCTCCCCCCATCGCTCGCCGCCGAGACCCTCCTCGATGCCGCGAATGATGCCACGGTAGCCTCGGCGCATGCGGGTGGCGGCGCGGGCCACCCACGCGCGCTGAGGCTACTGCGATTCGATCTGCGGCCCGCGATGCGACCTCGACCAGCCAGGTTGCCACTAGAGAAAATCGAGCTGGGGTCGCTCCCAAGATCCAGTGCATTCGTACACTTGGTGTCGCTCGAATGTGTGCTGATGTTTGTTTTTCCAGTTGCACCCGCGCAGGCCGCTTTGCCGAGCCGTGATGAGATCGTGCCGTGGGCGCACGGACTCCTTGTGCGCTGGGAGCCACACGTGCGTGGTGCCATGTGCACGTGGTGTTGTCGGATTCGTGTGGTGCTTTGCGTGTGCGTTGAATTGCGTGCGTGTGGAGTCTTGTGCGTTGTGCCGTGCGCGTGCGGTGGTACTTGTGCGTTCGGAAACTCATGGAAGTCTCGTGGGAATGTCCTGGTGAACACTTGGACGTCTTGGAATTGTCGACAGGATCTTGCGGGGGCAAAGACGTAGTCGGCGGTCTTGGAGTTCTCTCGATGTGGTCTGATCCTCCTATCTAGATCGCTACCCATCTAGGGCAGATATTGGCCCATTTTGGACGGCGCTCGATCTCCCCACATATCGAAAAGACGAAGCTGCGGTTTGTGAGCCGAAGAGGGCACCTCCCCAATGAAGGGGGTCCTAGGCCCGCCGTCGCGCACGGATCGAAGACGGCACAGACAGTGTTCGATCTGTGCGCCTCAGGTTTTCAATATTTTTGTCGGCAGAAAGAGAGTGTTGGAACCTTCGGGCTGGAAGGTGCGTCGCACCAGCCAGCCATTGCGTCGACGACCCCGCTGGCTCAACCCACAACGTAGGCATCATTACGCCCATCGCTGTTTATCTGCATTTTATTAACGCGGGGATGGGTGGTTGGTGCTTCGCTCTGCAAGTCGTGCCAGTCACAATGTCAAGAACCATGTCGATGCGCATTCTTTATTGCCGCGTGTGGCTGCATCTGCATGGATGCCATCATGGCTGCGTACAGGCCGTAATCTCTATGTGGTAGTCATTTATATTGTGGTTTGGCATGCAGTATGATCTGGACGAGTGACGCGATTTACGCGTTTGGTCTACGCGTGCAGAGAAGGTTGTTGTTGGCTTACGGACCGAGCATTTGGGCACGGTCATGCAGATGGTAGTCCACGTTTCATGTTGGTTGTGCACACCACAGAGTCAGACCTTCTGGAATTCATCGCCACATACCGTTTTCAAACTCGATCGTCATTGCATCTGGCACTGCTTCCACCATCACTGGAGGCGCCGCTCAGCAAACAGCGATGCCCTAGAAGTTGCCACGTACACTCTCCCAGTGGCGATCGAGGTGCGAGCCGCCAAAAGGAGTTCTTGCTCTGTCGTCGACAACCTTGGGCCTTGGCTTCCCCATCGCGTGACCACGTCTTCCCCTTGTCCCGCACGTCTACCATTGGGACTGCATATGTCGGGCAGTATCCGCTTCGATTCCGATATCCCGACGATCCGATGCGGGCCGATGTTTGCATGGCAGTGTCGTGCACCTTGGCGTTGGCCATTCGATGCGGTTCCGACTCCGCGCCGGTGTGGCTCATTCCGATGCAAGATCCGATCCCACCCGATCGCTGGAAGCGAGGGATGGGAGGTCATAGGCGACATACCTTTCGCAGTGTCTATCGCGGCGCATTTCTTTCATCTAAGACGTACCTGGCAGGAGGTGGCTTCCCAGTGCAACCGGCATGCTTGAACTGGACATATATATATAGCCGCATTGCCCAGAAGTGTTGTAGCGAGATAAGACATGGATAGCAGAAAGAGCCAAGTAATATAGACAGCACCAACCTCGATTTCTCAGCTTGATTGAAACCTTGGCTGTGGTGACTGAGGCAACACATGTGAAGAGTACAAGTTGCCACGGAAAGGTCACGAGAATGTGAGGTATCGCAATTATTACAATGGTGCGTTTGAACAGCGCGCGTCGGCCTACATGTAGTCATGTCTGGGACGGGGGCATGAACACGATCTCAACTTATCGTGGCCACCCAGCGTGGTCCCCCTCAGCGAAATTACACCGATAAGTGATTCAACATACTTTTACACTTGTAGCTCGAGCGGCACATGCTTCCCTCATCCCGCGGGAGTAGTGCTCGAAGCGGCTACGCTGAGTGATCAGCGTTGGAAGAACAAGACGGTGTCATTGAAGCACATGGTTGCCTGCATGTGGTAGAGTCAAGACGCTGAAGTAACAACCACTTTGAGATCAGCGGGGAGCCTGGGTTTCAAGCCGTTTCCTAGATCCAGGGCGCGGAATTCGGTCGTGGCCGAGGCTCGCGCGGCTGCCCGAGAATTTGTGCTAGGTGTCCGTGGGGACTGGGCGGAGATGCGCCTGAGGTGTCCTTCTGCTGGCTCGGGGGAACGTAAGACTCGAGTACGCCAGAACTAGGGTTTGCCGACGCTTTTCGCGTCTTAGATTCTGACGGTCCAGTGTTCGTGGGATGCTTGCAGCGGGAGTTCGCGTCAAGTTCCAGAGTGGGTCTCGTCAGCTTCATGATGGCCTCTCAAGGCCAACCCGAGTCCCCGGAACTCGAGTCGCTCGTCTCCCCGATGGGTACGTCTGCACCTCTTGTGAGGCGGGCACCTCTGGCTCGGCGGCGCGATCCGAACCCGACCCTCGCCGATCTGCTGTTCGGGCGGCTCGACGGCGAGCGCGCGGCGAGCGCGTGGCGAGGTCCGAGGCCTCCTCCCGCCCCCGTCGGTGCGGGAGCAGTCATGAGCCTGTCTTCCACCACCACCACCAGAAGTTGGAGGGGGGGAAGAGGAGGAGGAGAAGGAGGAGGAGGAGGAGGGAGAGAAGGAGGAGGGGGAGGAGGAGGGAGAGAAGGAGGAGGGAGAGAAGGAGGAGGGGGAGGGGGAGGGAGGAGGAGGAGGAGGAGGAGGAGGAGGAGGACGCCTTCCCCCTCCTACTTGTGGTGGTGGTGGTGGAAAATAAAGCCACGAAGAATCGATGGTCGGCGAGGGCAGGGCTCGGAGGTCGCCGCCGGCTGATGGACGGCGCGAGCGCACCGGGCCAGCGCGGGAGGGCGAGGCTCCCCCCCAACAGGGGCTCCTCCTCCTCCTGCTCCTCCTCCTCCTCCTCCCTCCTCCTCCTCCTCTTCCTCCTCCTCCTCCTCCTCCTCCTCCTCCTCCTCCTCCCTCCTCCCTCCTCCTCCTCCCTCCCTCCTCCCTCCTCCCCTCCTCCTCCTCCTCCTCCTCCTCCTCCTCCTCCTCCTCCTCCTCCTCCTCCTCCTCCTCCTCCTCCTCCCCTCCTCCCTCCTCCTCTCCCCCTCCTCCTCCTCCTCCTCCTCTCCTCCTTCATCCTCCTCCCTCCTCCCTCCTCCCTCATCCTCCTCCTCATCCTCCTCTCCCCTCCTCCTCCTCCTCCTCCTTCCTCCTCCTCCTCCTCCTCTCTCCTCCTCCTCCTCCTCCTCCTCCCTCCTCCCTCCTCCCTCCTCCCTCCTCCTCCTTCTCCTCCTCCTCCTCCGTCCTCGCGCAGGGCTCTTTCCATGCTTACTGGAATGAGGTCGAGCAACTCATTTGAGCTCCCCCCGCAGTAAGCCAGTAGCAATGGCCGAGGACCCAGCCATGAGTCGGTCCCCTAGGTGGTTCTCCCCAGCGCGCCTGCGTGGCGTCATGGGAGTTCGCCACCGTTCGGGGGCGTTGCTGGTCCCGCCAGCGGGAGTCCCCCCGTCTTTCACACAGTTAACCCGCACACCTCCAAGTCGGGTTGCGCAGAGCTCTTCGCAGGTTTATTGGAATGAGGTCGAGCAACTCATTTGAACTCCCCGCGCACTGCTCATTGCTCATTGCTCCTCCACCCCCTCCTCCTCCTCTTCCACCTCCACCTCCTCCTCTTCCTCCTCCCTCCTCCTCCTCCTCCTCCTCCTCCTCCTGCTCCCCCTCCTCCTCCTCCTGCCCCTCCTCCTCCTCCTCCTCCTCCTCCTCCTCCTCATTCTCCTCCCCCACCCCCAACAGGGGCTCCTCCTCCTCCCTCATCATCCTGCACCGGGCGCTGTCTCTCTCTCTCTCTCTCTCCAAGGGGACGGGACGAGGGAGTGAGGGCCATCGCGCATCGCGGGGCGCGCTCGGACGGAGGACGAGGAGAAATCCGTTTCTGAGCGTCTCGGAACGCTCAAGGAGCGTTCCAGAGCGCTCGAGGCATCCTCCAGAGCAACCGGATCTCAGAGATGTCCGACATTTCCTTGCCCGACGTTATGCTCGTCCTGGCTTCGTTTTACGCGATGCGCGAAGTCAAGAGACCTAGGTAGCGAAGTTCACACCCTCCGTGCCCTTGCCTTCGGTCGAGTGTTCTTGCCGCGCTGCCTGCGCGGGTTCCTTCTGCACAGCCAGCCATGGGGCACTTCTTGGGTTCGGCTTCCCATGGGTAATCTTTTACGCGGCGACGGCGACGGCGACGGCTGCGAGGAGCGATTACCCTCAGACAGTATGTGATGCTTCACGCGCGACTCCGAGGAGTGCAGCGCGTGGCGACTGCGAGCGGGACATTCCCAATTGGCACGAGGTGGTATTCTGCCAGCCTCTGCCCGATTACACGAGTCGGGGTATGCGGGTTGAGCGCGCAGTGCCCAGGGGGATCGGAAAAAAGCGGCGGTTCTCCATTCCGACATCGCCTAAG